GTCACTGTTTTTCGTTAATAACTCGTTAACGGCGCCTCGGAGATCATTTTTGTAAAGGAAGAAGTTGCTTCAAATGATCCGAGGAACCCGTCATTTCCGCATTGCGAGACATTTTTGGTACATCTGCCGTCCAGGAAAATAGTCTCGTGCAGATTCACTCGTACCTAAAAGGTTAATATTTTTATAAAATGTTTTTATAAAAGCACAAAATCTGCAGTTTAATGACAGATTACATCATTTGAGCCGTGATGCAAACGGGTTAAAAGAACGAAGATGAATTTGTCAAAAGTACCATAATTAGATTTCGGAACTTTCTCTAAAAGATAGAATCTAATTGCTGTTTTATTTCATTTTTAGAGCAAGTAATCGTCTAACTAACGAATGAAGCTTTTCCGTAAATCTAATTTTTGTAAAATGACGTATGAAAATGAGAATTCGCATAAATAACCACAGTATAACCAGAATCTTGCAGTTACTGTTATAAATACATTACAAAATTACAAGTGCTTATTAAAAGAAGTAATTAGATCAAAATTTTATATAGGTTCGATTATACTCGATGAAATTATAATTCTCGTTAGAGGACGTTCGCAGTTTGAGCAATATAAAATTGAAAAAGGAAAGCTGGTTTAGAAGGAGGAACGTAATTTTCGGGACACTCGTACTGGTTTAACTGCACAAACAAATGGATTCGGTTCTCCTTCGGCTGCCGTAGGCTCCGCAGGCATCCGAGGAATCCCGGCCCCGTATTGTACGAGGCAGATGCCACCTCTAAATAGCAGTTGGTGTCCGCTGTGTTAAACAATTTGATTTCGTCTCTGATTGGGACGCAGGGCAGCCTCGGACGAGGGCGAGAGAACGCCTCGGGTCCGGGTCGCGTGGGGTCTTTGTCCGCAATCAGCGTAGCCGCGGGGCTGCGAATCCACGTCTTTCGTTCGTTTCGTGTTTAGAAGACAAACTCTGACACGACCGGAACGAATCCTTGTGTTTTCGAAGGCGAGCTTCGCTCTTTGTTCGCGCGAGAATCGATGATGGTACGGCGGACGACCGAATTATTGAAATTGTGCGAATATATTGTCTGTAGACTATTAAAAAAATAAACTATTATATACTATTATTTATATATATATACTATTATATTATTATATTATATATTATACTATTATAATATTATATTATATTATAATAGTATGATATAT